GGCCATGCTGCCTGTGCCTTCCTGCCCCAGCCAGCGTTGCTGGGTCCTGAGATCCTGTGGGGCTACTCCCTCCCCCCTCCTTATATATTATTGATCTGTTCCTCTCAATATCCATGGCTCTGAGAGGAAGCCCCACACTGTCCTGGACTCAGACTCGGCCTCTCCTCCCTGTCCAGTTCTCACTCTGGTTTGTGGGCTTATTTAGATATTGACGAGTGTGCAACACGCAGCGCCTGCCCAAGGGGACTGTGCATCAACACCGAGGGCTCCTTCTCCTGCATGGCCTGTGGTGCTGGATACGCTGTGTCCAGAGACGGCAGCATGTGTGAAGGTATCTCCTGTGGACTGGTGAGACGTGCGGGTGCCAGGGAAACTAGTGTCGGTGGGAGAACGTGCTTGCCACTAGGGCTGGATCTCCAGCTGTGGCTGCAGAATCTCGCACTGTGCATGCATTCCCATCATGGGGTATCCCCCAGCCCATCTTAGACAAAGCTGCCAGCGTGTGACAGCAGTTGCAGGCTGCAGTGCCCCTAAGGCTGGGTCTCTGGCTCTGGGCCTGCATCTCTCTTTGGGGACCTGACCTGAGTCATTCTTCCTGGAGCAGCTCTAGCTGAGCTCTCTGCACCCAGGAAGAGCCCCCTGATGCGCAGCGAGACCCACTTGGAGAGCAAAGAGCCTTCCTAGGATACCTGCTTCAGCAGCTTGGCTTTCAGCCTGTGCAGAGTAATGGAGAGCTAGAGGTGTCTTGGGGGAGATCACTCCCAGCAGGCTGGGGCCTACAGGTGCTCCGACAGAGACTGCTGCAGCTTTGGAAAGGGGGCTGTGTGTCACAGACGTAATCCCTGTGCTGGCTGTGAGAACCCGGAGGGCAGAAGCAGCCCTCCCCAGGCCAGCGAGCGAGCACAGTAGGCATGCCCTGTTCTTCATCCCAGTCTGTGCTTTCCCCAGATATTGATGAGTGCAGTTCACCCACTGCCTGCCCCTTGGGAATCTGCATGAACACAGACGGCTCCTTTGCCTGCCGAGCCTGTGATGCTGGCTACGTGCTCTCCTCCAGCAGGCTCACCTGTGAAGGTAAATCTCCTGAACTGCTCTCTGCCTTTGCTGGGAGCTGTGCCGCACATCAGGCAACAATAAGTGTATCTGTAGTGTCAGATTTGGAAGTCAGGGGTCAGTATAGCCCTGCACATTGGCAATATATTGTGGGGATCTGATCATATCTGGGAAGAAGTACAAGTACACAGCTCATCATGAGATTCTCAGATGGTCCTAGTTTAGGGGGAGCTGCAAGCCCCCCAAAAAAGGGCAGTTGGATACAAAGAGGCCTGGAAAGAGCAGAGCCACAGGCAGAGAATAGCAGAATGGGATTCTGTTCAGAACAAGAGAGATAATATGTCTGGAGAAGGCAGCCTTGAGCCGAGGTGACTGATGGGAGGGAGAAGCATTGGAATCCGGAATGGCTGAGAGACATGCAGCAGCAAATTAGGAATTTCGGAGGCAATGTGGAAGCAAACATGGCCCATTTGGCAGAGAGCTATCATGTCTCGGGCAAGGGGGAATAATTCCTACTTTGTGCATCTCCAATTTAGTTTGTTGTGGGCACCTTTTTATCAGAAAGGTATTGGCAAATCACAGGGAGTTCAGAGAAGAGCAACCAAGGATATATCAGGAGGCAGAGCTCTAAGGAAGAGTACAATGAGTCAATCCTGTCTAGTTGGGCTAAGCCTCAACTCCAGGCCTGGGGACGCCTGGGAGGAGATCATAAATATCTGCCAGGTATAAACTCCAGGCAGAGAGGAATTACATAGGCCCGTGGTGCAAGGGTTACAAACAACAAAATAGGCAGAGGTTTAACAGTGCCAATGCAAGCCAACGAAAAATAGAAAGCAGGTCAAAGGGTGATGAAGCAATTAAGGTCCCAGTTCAACAAAGCACTGAAACAACATACTTCACTTCAAGCACAAGTGGTGGTACTGAAGTCCCCAGGACTGCTCTCTGTCTTATATCATGCCCACAGGACAGGAGAGATTTGTGTTGCTGTAGCAGTACACCCTGTGCAGCATAGGTAGGTTAGCTCATGTTTTAGGTGCGGACTAGCCCTGAAAGCGCTTAAACAGGGTTAAGGTTGCTCACATGCTTACTGATAAGCATGTGGAAAAGAATTTGCAGCATTATGGGAAATAATAATAACAACTAACATCTGAAGAAGTGGGCTGTGCCCACGAAAGCTCATGATACCATCTACATATTTTATTACTCTTTAAAGTGCCACCAGACCATTTGTTGTTTTTTAAGTTTTTCCTCTTAGAGACTAACTCGGCTACCCCCGAAGCTTTAAAACCAAAAAATAATAAGGGGGTTAGACTAGATGACCCTGACAATCCCTTCTAATCCTCTGATTGTCTGAACCAGGAGGACTGGGATAATATTGGGGTAGGGAAAACAAAGGCTGGGCCTTAGCAGAAACTCCCAGATAGTGAGATCTATCAGACTGCAGCAGACCTTGGGGGAAGGGAACTCAACCTTTCCCTAGTAACTGCTAAACTTGTGGTTGTTAATGGTGCCGTTCCCTAGGCCCTGTCATAATTTGTGTGCAGATGTTTTTAAAGTGTAGCTTTGAGGCTGTGCTCCATGGGTACTTGAAATTGTGGTGTAGAACTTTTCTTGGCATGAGTTTACGTTGCTAGGTTACCCAGGAGTGGCAGAGCTACAGGTGAGATATGCGGAGACTCCTGCCAATCAGCATAGGTTCTGGATCAGCCATGTTTTCTGCAGGAAAAGTGCGTTAGGAGAGTGACTGAGAGAGTTTAAGGGTAGTTGTCATATCCCCCCGTACAGCTAGGCTCCCCCTCTTAGCATTTGCACAGCTATGCAGGAGCTATGCAGGCCACCGAGGAGAAGAAAAACAGAATTAATGTGGTTTAGACACCCTAAAAATGACCTAAAATAGCATTTTTGTGTCTTCTAATGCCTGATACCCTGCAACCTGCTATGGTCATAGCTGTGCGCTGTATTCCATTGGGAGTACCCTCCTCAAGCATGTCCCTGCTGATATCAGGCTCACCTTTTGGACCCAAGATACCTTTGGACCTTAAAACTGTCATTGACCCAGTGCCTGTCATGGGTCTTCACCTGGGGTTTTTTGGTGAGAAATTCTGCATATGGAGGCAAAGAAGGAAAGATTTTTGTGGCAGGTTTTGTTGTTTGTTATGTGAAGTGGTTCAGATGGCTGGAGTGGTGGAGAAGGGCCCTTTGAAGATGGAGTGGTGGGCATATTGCAGGTGTGATACCTGAGCCTGTTTTTCACTTGTGAGCTTTGTCTGAAGCCTGAGCCCTCACCAGCCAGGGCGACAGCCTGTAATTTAGCTTTGTGGCATGGCTTCCTTGGCAGTTGCCCTGCTTGCTGGCCCCTAATGCCAGCCCTGCTTTTGCTCCCCCTTTAATCTCGTCCCATGTCCCCTTGGGGGCTAAAACCACCAGATTGAGAAACATGGATCAAGATGAATTGAGTACCCCTGGAAGATCTCTGAGTAGCCCTGGGGTGCATGTACCTCTAATTGAGAACTACTGTGTTAACAAATCATTTTGATCAAAAATATTACAAAATAATTTTTGACCATTCCTAATCTATTGTGAAAAAATTCTTTAACCATTCATACTAGGGATGTTAATAGTTAACCGGTTAACCAATAAGCCTCACCCTTAATGGGTGAGGCTTACTGGTTACAGTTAACCGGTGGGGGCTAGAGCCACTCCCCACCTGCCATGGGCAGGGGCTGATCCAGTCCCATGGGTCCTGCCGTGGGCAGGGGCATTCCAGACCAGCCAGAGCATCTGCAGTGGTCCTGAGGTGCACCATGTCCAAGGGTGTCCAGCCTCCATCCGCGGTGGGGAAGCTGTTCCAGCCTATCTGCAGCGGACAAAGGGGGCTGCTCCAGCCCAGTCAGGCTGGGAGCACCCCTCCCCCTGCCTGCCCTCTCATTTAATCGGTTAACCAGGTAAACTTAATGTTTAGCTGGTTAACTAATTAATAGGGATTTTACATCCTTAATTCGTACCTTGCCACCTTTGTTGATTTAACCCTTGCAAAATTAGTTATGCAACAGACTGAAACAATCAAAGAATCAGACAGAAACCATGTAGATAACAATAGATAAGTAGGGACCATAAAAGCTAAACACTGAAGAATTACAGATTTCACAATCACAACTGTTGATAAGTGAGTCCTTGATAGACAGAACACTATCAAACAAAGTTTTATTTAAATGTTCTAAGATCTGTTTCTTTATCTGGTGGCGGTGGGTACTTTAAGACAGATTTGCTTTCTAAACAGCTCAACATTTCATGGATTGAATGTAATTTAGATGAATTGTGCAGATGTGACTTCCTGATTTTTAGCTCTAATGTGGTGTCGGGGTACGCCCCTGACAGGGGTTGCGGACCCCTTCTACTGACCCGTGTCTTGGTCCAGGCCCTTCTCTCAGGGCGTATACAGTACCCAAAATCCCAAAAGTCCCAGCTTCTCTCTCAGGGCATATACGGTACCCAAAAGTCCCAGCCCCGCTCTCAGGGCGTATACGGTACCCAAGGCCTAGTTCTGGGGAAAAAGCCTCTCCTGATACCGAGTGATTCCCCTGGTGCGGCCAGGGATGGTAGGGGGATCCAGCCCCTCCCTCTCCACCGGGTCCCAGCCCGGGGCCCTGAAGGCAGGGACTCTAGGTCCTGCCGGCTTGGTGGGGAATCCAGCTGCTACGCACCAAACGGAATTAGCAAACCTCCGCCCTGGGCCGCTTCCTACCGCCCTGGCACCCCCCTAGTCTGTCCGTTGGGGCGATGGTCCTTACCGGGGCTGGGTAGACCGGGTAGGTGTGCCCGTTACTCTGCAGGGTTGGGGCCGTCTTCCCTCCCGGGGTCCAACGCTGGCCTTCAGTTGGGTCCCAGTTGTCATAGGAACACCGGCTTTGCGGCTTGGCTCCTTCTAACCTCTAGTTGCCCTCCTTTCCGCTGGGCCGCTGCCTGCTTTATATACTGGCCCTGCTGGGAGCATGCCCAGCAGGGCTGTAAGGGCGGGGCTCTTTCGGCCAGCTGGGCCTGGGCTACTCCCAGCCCTGTAGTGTGGGGCTTGTTCGCCCCATCACATGTGGCTTCAGAAAATATTAATGTCATCTCATCCCTGGTCCTTACAATGTCTCCCTCTACAGTTATTCTGAAGAGTTCTCCTCCCTTCTTAGAGCTTGCATCCTTCAGGCAATACCAGGTTTCTGGCCTGTCTCCCAGCCGTGGCTTAGCCCAAAGGAATATATTTATTTCCTTCAACCTTTCCGTATTAGTGATGCCTTCAAAGCACTGATGATGGCTGGGGGGAGCCAGGAGAGTTTAAGGGATGACTGGGAAGCAGGAGGGTGGGGAGTTTCCACAGCCAGGGGGGAGAGACCTGTCAGGGAAGGATTGTGGAAGGGGTAGGAAGCCAGGAGTATGGGGTCAGATGAGGTTCTGGAGGGTGTTGGAAAACTTTGCTGATATACACTCTTGTGCCATTAGCATGATCCTTGTCATGGCGCTTCTCCCATTTCCCTCCAGTTTGTGCCACTGAGATCTCTCGTACTGGACTAACTTGGGGACAGGCCCAGAAGCCTGGTTTGGTTTAGCAAAATCTCTTGGGTTGGCCCTGGTTTGCCAAGGCAGGACTAGCTCAGATCTGGGATCCAGGGGTAAAAGGGCACTAGAGTCTGAGGGAGCATTGGAAAAGATGCTGCTGCAGCTACTTTGCGTGCAGCATTTGAGAGCTGTATAGAGAGCCTTTCCCCTTGGCACCCCTTGACCAGGATCCCTCTCTGCAGGCAGCCCCAGGACTGCACTGTGGACTGACCGCCAGGGCGCTGCACTCAGCAGGCAGGAAGGCCTCTGAACAGCAACTTGCTGTGGCTGTCGGAGGCCTGAACGGCTGCTGCCCTTGGCGTCTTTGTTTATGGCAGCTGCTCGTTGCATACCTGCACTGGCCCTGCCTCTTAGTTCTGTGCCTCTCTGCCTGCTCAGATATTGATGAGTGTGAAGACCCCACTGCTAGCTGCCTTGGAGGAGAGTGCCAGAACACACAGGGCTCCTACATGTGCCACTGCCGCCCTGGTTTTGAGCTGATCAACGGCACTGTGTGTGAAGGTATGTGTGATGGGTTGGATCACAGGGGTTCCTTGGGCTGCTCATGCCACCGAGCCTGTCTGTCTGCCTGCCATCTGGGGCGCTCTGCCACACTGTCCTGTTGGCCCAGAAGCTCTGGTCTCCCCCAGCCAAGACATAGAGTTGGGGTAACTGCCCTCCAGCAGAGCAACACAGATGCTGAACCAGCTCAGCTCTCAGAGGGCTCAGCTATAGATCCATTGACAGCATCCAGGAACCCAAACATCAGAAGGGACCAAACCCCCAGATAAATCCTTCTTATGCTGTATAAAAGTTTTACACAGAGAAAGCTTATAAAGTTTGCGGTCTTAATCAATGAAAGAGAGAGATTCATAGCGGTTCCCCTTTCCCCCTGGTAACGATTATTTACACTGGGATTGATAATAAACAAATGTGTTTTATTAAGTATAAAAAGTAGGATTTAAGTGATTGCAAGTGAAAACAGACAGATCAAAGCAAGTTACTAAGCCAAAATATACAAAACATGCCAGCTAATTCTAATACACTAAGAGAAATTGTTTCAAAGTGTGTTCCTTGTCCTTCTTTCAGGTAAAATCCTTCAAGACAGAGTTAACTTTTTTTTTTTTTTTTGGCCTGGGCCTACAGATTTTTAGAGTTCTTTGGAGTTCTTTATGTTCAGGTTTCTTCATGTGTATCCCCTTAAAGGGAGGAGGCAATTTCAAAAGCCAGCTGAAGACAAAAATACTGATTGTTTTCCATCCCTTAAATAGACTTTCCTCAGGGACGGAATCCTTTGTTTTATTTCTCCATCTCCATGGAAAAATACCAGATTCAAGATGGATTCCAGCAGCAGGTGGCATGGGCATATAGCTTTCTAAAACCAATCACAGTTTGGGCATATAGGAAAAACAACCCCATTTACAGATTATTGTCTTGAGCACCAGGCCATTACATTTCCTTTAGTACCACTAATGGCTTTCATTAGAAGACTTAGATTATTAAAACAGATTTACACTTCATATTTTCAACTTCACATACAAGAATGATACATGCACAGAAATAGAATATACACATTTAGCAGATGGTAACTTTAAAGATGCTATGTTACCTGATGTATTTTTTAAAGCATCTTTGAGTAATGCATATTCATATTCATAAGCCAATTTTCATAAAGCATGGAGGGCCTGACAGTATGAGCCTTGGCAGAGCTTGTCCATTCTGTTTCCTTTTAATCCCACCATGCAGTCTGGAGCAGCTGTTGCGAATTCCTATTTCTGCCCGTGCAGAGGTGATTGCAGTGCAGGCTGGGACAACCAGCCTGTGGAGCACCACCCCAGAGCATTAACCAAATGTGGTCACCACTGACCCACTCCTTGTGCCTCTGAGGAGAGGGCTGGATGGGACCTGCCCTGTGTGGATGGGGTTGGGGGGAGGGGTGTTTCTCCTGCCATCTGTCCCCAGCCAATTGTGTGACACTAACACATCCTTCTTCTGCAGACATGAACGAGTGCCTGGGCAGTGAGATCTGCAGCCCCAATGGCGAGTGTCTGAACAGCCATGGGTCCTATTTCTGTATTTGTGCTCCTGGCTTCTCAAATGCGGCTGGGGGAATCAGCTGCCAAGGTGAGCGACTGAGAGAAATGGCAGCAGCTAAATGAGCCTTGGACCCTGACTCTGCCCCCTGGCTATTGCCCTGGGCTCTCCCCTGCCCTTGACTGCCCCCTTCTTTTCCCTTGCGTACATCCCTGGGTTCTTCCCTGCCAGACTGTGTTCCCTGCTATTCTCTTGGGTTCTCACCTACCCAGCTGTGTCCCCTGCTGTTCCCCTGGGCTCTCCCCTACCCCTGCCTATCTCCTTTTCCTAGCTGTGTTCCCTTGTCCCCTCAGCCATGGTCCCAGCCCACTATGGATAGTACTTATTGTGCAGGGGACCATTGCACACCCATTGGACAGCCTCTGTGCTGATCCTCATCATGTTGCCTCTTCCAGACGTGGACGAATGTGCAGACAAATCCCGGTGTTTGCAAGGCCAGTGTTTCAATACAGAGGGCTCCTACCGATGTTTGTGTGAAAATGGCTTCAGGTACTCGCAGGAGATGGATGACTGTGTAGGTAAGTGCTGGTCCCAGGGGAGCCCTCTATTTTTCTCCCACTCCAGAGCAATGAGGCCTTTCTTGGTCCTCTGACTAGTTGGGCTATGATGGAGGGCCCCAGGGCCCACAGTGAGTTTGTGGGATGGAGGGCTGGTGCCAGGTCATTAGTGGATATGTGGGGCATTTGCCACAGACCCCTGGTGTGGCTGGGCTCTGGTTGCACCAGTGGGATTGTGGGGTGACTGTCCCATCTCTTTGCCCTTCTCCCTCTGTGTCTGATGTCACTTGGTGACAGATGTGGATGAGTGTGCAGATTTCGGGAACACCGTGTGTGGCACATGGAGGTGCCAGAACACCATAGGATCATACCGCTGCATTATGGGCTGCCAACCTGGCTTCCACCGGACCCCGCTGGGTGACTGCATTGGTGGGTATTACTGCATGTTCTTTCACTGTGGTCTGCGTTCTCTTCTGGGCAGGGAGTCTGGCTGGCTCAGTTGGCACCCTGAAGGCATGGCTTGCTGCCCAAGCTAGAAGCAGGAAGGCACCTGTGGTCATGTCCTAAATTCCCCCTATGCTGAACAGCCACATGGCTTTCTATTCAGCATCCCCCATTGGTCCCAGCCATAGCTAGGGGAAAAGGGCCCCTCCTTACAGTCCGCAGGAGGGAGCCACCCTGGTAAGCCCGAGCCCCTACCCATATTGACCACTCCCCTGCACACTAAAGTCCTTGTCCCTGGCTACACCCCAAGCCCACACCCTCTGTGCAGCATCTGTACCCTCTCCTGCACACCAACCCCCTCATCCCCAGCCTTACCACAGAGCCCTTACATCCCTACCCTCTGTTTCTGTCCTGAGCCCTTAACCCCAGCTGCAGCCAGAGCCCTAATATTCCTGCACCCCCATCCTCTGCTTGAGTGCAGAGTCCCCTCCACATTCAAAGCTACATGGTCTTTTCCTTGTCGCGTGAATTTTGTTACATGCACCAATATGAAAGTGACGTGTCACACATCACCTCCGTGTCATACAGCATCTCCACGTTATTGCACATAACAAAGCTCATTCTGCTCCGGGGTGAGAAAAATTAGAGGGAACACTGGTCATATTCCTCCATAGCAATGGGGAGGAGGAAGTGCTTGGCCAGCATAGATGTTGATAATTCTGAGTGCTTGTTTTCCTGGCTGTTTTTAGTCTAGACTTCTCTCTTCTTGGCATTTGGTAACAGACACTGCATTGTGCAGCTTTTCCTCTCAGGGAGATTCCTGGGGAGGTTACAGTCCATGCCAGGGCCGGGATTATATTGCAGCACAGAGCTCCCCGAGAGGCAGCTGCCTGCTGGGGTTATGAGCTGTGTCTAATGCCTCCCTCTCTCCCTGGAGCTGCTGGATTAACTGTGCTCTGACAGCGCCTAGTAGCTCCACTCTGGGGTTGGTGCATAGAGATCCCCTCTGCAGAGCCCCAGGGTTGGATTTAGGGCTACGAGCCCAGGGCAGCACTGACAGGTGACACTACAGAGGGATTATTGTGGTGATAAAAAATCCTCCAGACTCTCATAAGCTGATGTGAGGGGGAGCTGTTGCCAGCGGGGGCCCAGCACTGCCACTGGCACCACAGGTTAATGCCATCTGAGGTCAGCTTCATCTTCTTCAGCTCCAGACAGCACTAAGCTGCAGACATAGCTCCCTCAGTTACTGTGAGGAAATCTCACCCCCCATGTGGCAGTGAGAGGGGAATGAGGCCCGGGTGCACTGTGCAGCTGGCCAAGGTCCTCTCCCTTCTCCTGAAAGGTCACTCTCCCTGTGGGGAGACAGCCCCTGCAGCCCTGACTCCTCCCAGCTTTGGGACACCCCATTTTTCTGTGAGGGTCATTATGGGCAGCAAGTCCCCAATTGAGCCCAAGAAGCCATAAGCCAGGGTTGGGTGCTTGTGGGGCCTGTGTGCTTGGAGAGCAGGCTCTGCGCAGCTGCAGTCAGAGCTCTCCATGGGTCAGGGTATGAATCAGAGGAAGGAGAAAAAGCGCAAGTCTGCCACTGATCAGCACAAGGGTCAGGGCAAGAGAGAACATTCCCTGTTTGTGTTCCTTCCCCCATATGCTCCCACACTCCCCTATATACCAGCCCATAACCTCATCTGCAGGTTATTCTATCCTGCATCTACCATACTCCCTTGTCCTTGTTGATAAACTCCATATTCCTCTATACCCGCCCATTTGCACTTCCCATCTCCTATACCTTCCCATAGAACTCCCTAGAGCCATCTATGTCACCTATCCCCCTAATTCCCCGGCCCTGTATGCTCTTGCATCCTGTCTGTACCCATTTGGAGCACTGAATTGTAGTGGAGGTTCCCTAAGGGTGGCTTTTTCCCCTGTGCTAAGTTATTTCCCTTCCTTCTTGCAAATTAGGCAGAGGAGCTGGGCAGGCCTAGCCCTGTGATCCAGCGGCAGCAAGTGCAGAGAGCTTTTGCTCTGGGTACTTCCCAGGGGCTGACGCTGTTGGGAGGGCTCTGGGAGTGTGATGGGAAAGGAGGCTCTGCACTGACCCAGGCCAGCCTGTCTCCTGCAGACATAGACGAATGTGCCAATGAGACGCTGTGCGGGAGCCACGCCTTCTGCGACAACACGGATGGCTCCTTCCGCTGCCTCTGTGACAGTGGCTATGAGAACTGGCTCCCAGGCCAGGACTGCGTGGGTAAGTCACTCCATGCTTCTGGCCTGACGCCATCATGCTACCTCGGTCTCTGCCTCCTGCACCCAGGTCCCTGTACCCGTTGTGCTGCATGAATCAGTCCATCCGCATCTCAGTGAGGGAGTGCCTCCCAGCAGGGGTGGGGAAATCCTTTTCCTGTGGCTCCCTCAGGATCCCTGACAATGAACAGTCTGCCCAGGATGGTGGGGCTGTGAGCAAGGCAGGAGGGGCAAGCAGACACCAGGAGTCTCCAGGGCTCTTTTCGGAGCAGATGGACACAGGGACCCCCAAGGGGTGAGAGAAGCTCACTCAGGGGATTGAAAATGGGCGAGGCCAATGCCTCCACTCAGGAGGGGCTGCAGATGAATGGTGAAGGGGCTGATTATTGGATAGTGACAATGATGAGTGCCTGAATTCCAGCAGCTGGAGGAGGAAATATCCTGTCAAATCCCAGCTAGTCCATTCCTAAGGGCCAGGGCAGGATCTCTTCCTGGCGCTGAGTCTAGGTGTTGTTTAAATGCTCCTAGGAAAGGAGTTCTCTGCGGTTCATGGATTGGGAGTCCTCTTAACGTTCCAGTCTGTGCAGCCCATCCACAGCTCCTTCCCTCCCACCGCACCAACAGGGCAAAAAGCATCCACGACTCTGAGGGCTCAGGTGGAAGCACTGGCCCAGTGTGGGAGCCCTCAAGCCATATCCTTTGCCCTGTGTTGCAGATGTGAACGAGTGTGAGCTGATGCTAGCTGTGTGTGGAACTGCCCTCTGTGAGAACGTGGAGGGGTCATTCCTGTGCTTGTGCCTAAGTGACAACGAGGAATACGACACGGAGACAGGAGAATGCCGGCCACGAGCTGGCATGGGTAAGATTTCGCTGGGTGGCAGCTGGTTACAAGCTGGCATGAGTGAGAATTTGCTGGGGTGTGAGCTGAGTGCCAATGGGTTAGTGCTGGCCCTGACTTGGAATGGGTGAGCTCTTGCTGGTATGGGAGCTGAGTGCTAACAGATTAGTGCTGGCCATGAGCTGGCGTGGGTGAGATCTCACTGGGACAGGAGTACGGGGCTGCCTGGGCATTGTTTGATCTCACCTGTGGGGATCTGCTCTGAAGGCTATATTGCCAACCCTGTTTTCATCATGGGAGATTCAGGATGTGGGGCAACCCACCCTAAGCCTCCAGAGCTTAGCATGTCATTCAGGCCTTCTGTTGAACCTCTTTTGTGCTCTCTTGTCTCCCAGGGGACTCGGAGCAGCCCATAGCACCACGTCCCGCTGGCTCGGAGCGGAAGGAGTGTTACTATCACATCAGCGACATCCAGTTGTGTGACAGTGTCCTGGCCAAAAACACCACCAAGGAGGAGTGCTGCTGCACTGAGGGGGCAGCTTGGGGGGACAACTGTGAGACCCACCCTTGCCCTATCCTAGGCACAGGTAGGGCACCGGCCCCAGCACTCTCTCCTCATGCGGATCAGAGCACATAGTGTGCTCACTGTGTCACAACCTAATCATAATACAAATTCCT